CGTTATTCATCGATTTACTCGAGTGGGTGCCAGTAACGTCTCCGTTCATCCCTGTTGCGTGCTAGCGTAGCCCAATGGCATCTGCTTGTTCTAGGAACATGCAGAGCCTCAAACCGATCATTCAGGGTCTTGATGAAGAAGTCTGACCATCTTGATCGCGTCCACGCGATCTTTTGACATCTCTTGGAATCCAGTCAGTAATGGCTCTAGTCAAGCGGTCGTCTGTAAACCTCATGACATGTCCAGCCCATTCGATTTTTGATACCTTGGCAAATGAGACAGCGTCCCTGATTCTTGAGCGTTGACGGAGATCGGCACTCCGGATTCTATCATTTGAGTGAAGCGTGATACTCCAAGCATAGCTCTTGATTCCTCTTTGAGAGACCCGAATAGCGTTCTCATCCTGTTTTTGTAGGGCCCAGGTCTCTGAGGCATATGTTAATGCAGGAAGAACAGTGGAATCGAAGAGATGTGCTCAGAGCTGGAGGGTCTTTGTCCTCTTAGTTATTTCTTCAACGGTCTAATTAATAGACAAAACAAAGTATATTACTGAGTGACTATTTATGTCAAGTACACTACTGCATATAAAGTGTAGATAAATTAATACAATTTTCTTAAGTAGATTAGTTTCCACAACCTAAATGTCCAACAACAGATAAAGAAATTATGGTATATATACACAATGAAATACTACTCAACTATAAGAAGGATGTAATCTTGCATTTTCCTGCAACTTGGGTGGAACTGGAATGCATCATGCTAAGCAAAGTGAATCAGAAGAAGGACAAAGACCAGATAACCCTCTTATGTGGAGTATAAAGAATCTTAGGAAAGGAATAGGCAATGTGCAATTAAAACATACTTTGAGATTCTTCCAAGGTAACTGAGTTTGCCATGCATTTATTTTGGTGGGGCGATCAATGACGGACATTAACATTCTAGTGGTGGGTGTGGCACAATATTATTGTGGCACAATATTATATGCCTAAAACATCTATCCTGTATGATTGTAAATCATGATACTTACAGGATTCCTTTTTTTTTTTTTTTTTTGGCTATTTGGGTCACATCTGACAATGCTCAGGGCTTACTCCTGGTGGTGCCCAGGGGACCATATGGGATGCTGGGGATCGAACCTGGGCCAGTCATGCTCAAGGCCAATTCCTTCCCTGCTGACTATTGCTCTGCCCCAGATTCCAAAATATTATCTAGATGTTTCTTTGGAAGTCTATTATAAGACAATGCTAGCACCCAGGAGGGTGCTAGTTACTTATAAATCTATATAAGTATAGCTATGACCATTTTTTTTCTTTTTGGGTCACAACCGGCAATGCTCAGAGGTTATTCATGACTCTGCACTCAGGAATTACTCCTGGCAGTGCTAGGGGGACCATATGGAACGCCGGGGATCAAACTCGGGGCAGCCGCGTGCAAGGCAAATGCCCTCCCCGCTGTACTATAGCTTCGACCCTATCACCATTTTTCTTTTTCTTTATCTTGCATACTCTTAGTTGTGCATACTCTTTGTATGTGTGTGGCTTTTTTGTAGGCTGGGAGGGAAATGAACAGAGAAATACCTTCTATCCAACCATCTCTCTCTCTCTCTTTTTTTTTTTTATTTTTGGGTCACACCTGGCGATGCACAGGGATTCCTCCTGGCTCTGCACTCAGGAGTTACTCCTTGCGGTGCTCAGGGGACCATAAGGGATGCTGGAAATCGAACCCAGGTCGGCCGCGTGCAAGGCAAACGCCCTACCCTCCAGCCCCTCTCATTTTTTTTTAAATGTAGGAGTACTGCTATTTTTTAGGCCATTGATTAAACTGATTGAATAGAGCATGAACACCACATTTACTTTTTAAATTTTTAAAAAATTGAATCTGCATGAGACTGAGCATTACAAAGCTGTTCATAATTGGGTTTAGTCATGCAATGATCCAGCACGCGTCTGTCCACCAGTGTACATTCCCCACCACCAATGTCCCGTTTCCCAACCACCATCCCCCAACCCCCCATCCCCCACCCCAGCCTGCCTATATAGGAGGCACTTTCCTTCTTGCTCTCTCTCTCCTTTTCCTTTTGTGCGTTATGTCCAACCATCTCTGAATGACCTCAAAGTTCAGTGACCAAAACAGGGATGCAGCCTTGAGTGAGACTTGACACTTTGGTTTGTGCATACTCTTTTCTAATATCCAAAATAACCTCAATTCCATATCAGTGTCCCAAACTTTAAGTTGTTCTGATTGTCTGTCATACAATGTTATGACACCTGTCTACCACCACTGACCCTGCCCAGCCAGCCTCTATGGCAGACATCTCTCTCTCTCTCTTTCTCTCTCTCTCTTTCTCTCTCCCTCTTTCTCTCGCCCTCTCTGTCTCTGTCTCTCTGTCTCTGTCTCTGTCTCTGTCTCTGTCTCTCTCTCTCTCTCTCTCTCTCTCTCTCCCCCCTTTTGGGAAGTATGGTTTACAGTTCAGGCACTGAAAGGTTATCATGTATAACCTTTCAGCACTCCTTTCAGCATTCAGTTCTTGTCCAAAGTGATCATTTCCAACTATCATTGTGGTCCCTTGATCCCAAACTCTCTAAGATGAGACTGTAGATCAGTATCACTTTGAACATACCCCAAGTCTCTGATGGATAGTCAAGCCACCTAAAAAGAGAAGACAAATCACTAAAGTCAGTTTGGGTGCCGGGCAGACTTCATCTGCGTTTCCTCTGGCAATAAGACTGTTTTCCTGGTCATTGTTTTTGTTTCTCTAACTAGAAGAATAGAGGTCGAGAACTTCTGCATGTATGTTCTATGTCCCTGTCTTGCTGGGGTGGGTGGAAGGCTAGAAACTGCTGGGGGAGAGGCATGTGGACTTTCCTTGGCAGGAGCAACCTGCTAACGTCAATCGTGCCAAGGAAAGGTGAATCCTGGCACGTGATGCGGAGCTTGAAAGAGGGGCTTGTGCCGGGCCAGGGGACCCCCTCTCCCCTCTCTGTCTTGCTTAGTTGGGCCTGGACCCAAGATTTTAATGGTCCAGATTTTCTGGTTTGTTTTTGTTTGGGGGCATACCCAGCAATGATGAGGGCTCACTCCTGATTGGCTTGGGGGACTATGTGGGGTGCTGGGGGTCGAGTCTGCGTTGACTCATGTCAGGCGAGCACCTTAGGCACTGTAATATCTTTCTACTCCCGATTTTCATGTTCTGAAGAAATGTGCCCACTGTCCTACTCAGAAGAGAATGAAAATATCTGCCTTTGAAGAAACTAGATAGTTTCTTGGAGGGAGTTTCTCTTTGCAGGAAAGTACTAAATCTTTTATTTCTTTTTCTTCCCTCTGCCGCCCAAAACACACACACACACACACACACACACACACACACACACACACACACACACCCTCATGGTACTCAGGGCTTACTCCTGGCTCTGTGCTCAGGGATCACAGGAGGTCCTGCCAGAAAGACATTGAGATGCAGAATCGGTGACAGAAAGGCTGCTATATGCCTGGGAGGAGAGGGACCAAGAATGCTCGGACAAAGACTCTCCTAGGAATGCAGGAACAGACAGCCAGAAGGTCAATGCTTTCTTCCCCAGGAAAAGCCCCGTTAATTCCTACTTGCGTAAAGAATTCGGGACAAAGGCAGTCCTTAACTACCTCTCTCCTTTCCTATTTTCATTTTTAGCCAAATACACTTTTCTTACTTCACTATTTCTCTCTTCCTGTAATTCTTTTCTGTAAGGGAAGGCAGACCTGGGAATGTCAAGGTAAGATTTAGGATTTTTTGGCCAGAGTGATAGTACATCAGTTCAGGTGCTTGCCTTGCATGCGGACGACTGGGTTAATTTGTTTTTGTTTTGGGGCCACATCTGGTGATACTCAGTGTTTACTCCTGGCTTTGCACTCAGGAAGTACTCCTGGCATTGCTCAGGGGACCGGGGGCCATATAGGATGCCATGCTGTGACGGAACCAGGGCTAGCTGTGTGCAAGGCAAATGCCATACCTGCCATCCTGTTGATCCCAGGCACTCCTTATAGCCCCCAGATACCCTAAGATGATTATTTTGTACCAAAGGTCTTCATGCCTTTGGGCTTATTTAGGTTCCAGACAATGTTCTTCCCAGCATACATCACCAGGCCCCCTACCTCTGGCCTGCAACAGAAGGATTAACTAAATGATGGCATGTCCTCATCATTTGCACTAATCTACTTTTAAAATAAAAGTATGAGTAATTTTCTGAATTTACATGGTAAGACTCGGGAAGTGAAAAAAAAAAAACAACTGCTGACTAATATGAGTGTTATCTTTTGTGAAAACAGGCAAGAAATGATTAAAAAAAAAACCGATACTTGCTTTTATTTGCAGAAAAAAAAAAACACTGTGTACAAAACCAGTGACGACAATTACACATAAAGGTACAGTAATGATACAATTTGGTATGCAAGTGGTAGGGTTTTATAATAAAAGGATATTTTTTATTAATAATTTCTCTAGGAGCACCGATGTTAAATGGTACTTGACAAGGTGATGTATGACCATCTGCACGTAGGAGGCAGATTGGGAATATCTAATTACCATTAGATATTATTGATCAACCTGTGATCAATTGGGAAAAAATACAACTTGGGGGGTATTTCTGGAGAGATAATACTGCGGGGAACATGCTCGCCTGGCAACCGCGTGGCCGGGTTCCATCCCCGGCAGCCCATCTGGTCCCCGAGCCAGGAGTAAGCGCTGACCACACCTGGCCGCCAAAGGTACGAGGAACGTTCAAGCAGAGAGCCGAGAGGCGGAACTCAAAATGAGGGCGGTAGATTTCCGTCCCGGGCACTTCCTGGCGTTGCACCCGCCCCTTCGGCGTTTCCCCGCCAATCCCACGCCAGAGCCAGCGAACCTGACCCCCGCCGGAGAGACGTGGGCGGGGCCTGAGGCTGGAGAGAGCGGCGGCGTCGCGGGCATCCACCCCCCCACTCACCCCTCCTCCGGAGGCCGACCTTAGCAGCCAGCGTCTTCCGGCGGCGCTCTGGCCCACCCAGGCGCGACTCGGTGGCTCGCCGCGAAGTCCCCTCTAGCTGCGGCGCGGAGGCCTCCACTGCCTTCCGGTTCCGGCCGTGCGAGGCCCGGGCCGAGCTGGAAGAAAGATGGCGGCGGCCGTGCGCCAGGACTTGGCCCAGCTCATGAACTCCAGCGGCTCTCACAAGGACCTGGCGGGCAAGTGAGTCCCCCCGGGGGTCGCGGGCGGGGGTGGGCGAGCCGGAGGGGGAGCCGCGAGCCGGTGCTTCGGGGCCGCCGCCGGCGAGGCCGGGAACGTGCCGAGGGGGGCGGGCCTGCTTTTGCCGGCGGCTGTCGGGGAGCAGCCCAGGGCTGCAGGGGGGCCTGGGGACTCCGCGCCGAGTGCTCGCGCCCCCGGGCGTCTCCCGCGCCCCTGCCCCCTCCCCCCCAGACCCCGCCGGGCCCCCTGCGGGTGTCAGAGCGGAGCGGAGCGCTCGCTGGGCTGCGTGCGGAGCCCAGACCCGGGGCCGGCCCGGGGGTCGCGGTCCTCCTGGCCCGGACCGTGCAGTGGGTGGTGGGTGCAGGGCCGCGGCCCAGACCGTCGTGCACCCGCCCGAACCGACGCCCCCGGCCCGGCCCCTGGACGCCTGGCCGCAACCGTCGGCGGGCAGCCCCGCAGGGGGCTGGGGTGCAGCTTCTTGGGGCTGCACTGTGACCCCCCTCCAGCCCCCCCACCCCCACCCTGTGAGAATATAAGGATCAGGATAGCACGTATTTTTTTTTTTTATTTTTTAGTGAATCACCGTGAGCTGCAGTTACAAAAGCTTTGATGTTTGAGTTTCAGGCATACCGTGACCAAACACCCATCCCTCCACCAGTGCACATTCCCCACCACCAGTGTCCCCAGTATGCCCCTCCCCTCTCCCATCCCGACCCTCCCCTGCCTCCGTGGCAGACAATGTCCCTCTACGTACTTTCCCTCTACTTTGGGGCATTATGGTTTGCAATACGGATGCTGAGAGGCCGTGACAGCGTTTGGTCCTTTATCTACTTTCAGCACGCATCTCCCAACCCCACCGATTCCCTCCAGCCATCAGTGACTCAGTGATGCCTTCTCTCTCCCAGCTGCCTTCTCCCCCAGCTCATGGGACAGGCTTCCAACCATGGGGCAATCTTTCTGGCCCTTGCGTCTACTGTCCTTGGGTGTCAGTCTCGTATTATGTGACTTTATATCCCACCAATGAGTGCAGTCATTTCTATGTCTGTCCCTCTCTGTCTGACTCATTATTTATTTATTTATTTTTTTGCTTTTTGGGTCACACCCGGCGATGCACAGGGGTTACTCCTGGCTCTTCACTCAGGGCTAACTCCTGGTGATGCGATGGGGACCACATGGGATGCTGGGAATTGAACCCAGGTCTGCTGCGTCCAAGGCTAACGCCCTACCCGCTGTGTGCTATTGCTCCAGCCCCATGTCTGACTCATTTCACTCAGCATGATACTTTCCATGACCATCTACTTATCCGCATATTTCATGACATCATCTCGCCCGCATGGCAAAGCCTGGCAAGCTCCCCATGACGTGTTCGATATGCCAAACACAGTAACAAGTGTCACAATGGAGATGATACTGGGCCCGCTTGAGCAAACCGATGAACAATGGGAGGACAGTGACAGTGACATCTTTAGGATAGGAATTCTTAATCCATTCCCCCTCCCACCGCTCCCATTTTCTGGGCCCACACCTGGCAGAGCTCAGAGTTCACTCCTGCCTCTGTGCCCTGAACACCAGGTGGGAGGCTGAGGATCAAACCTTCAGCTGCTTGCAAAGTCAGGAAGCGCCTTCCCGGCTGTTCCCTCCTCTCTGGCCCTATGGTAGCTTTTTTTACTCACATGTTTTAAAACCTCCTGAATTCTGAGTAACTGCATTCTGGCGTGATTTCTTCCCGAGGGGAGAGTTGAGCTGACTCCTGCCCACATGTAAGACCCTCCCGGTTGCAGTTCTTGACTAGCGGCCTGTGGTGTGGAAGGCAGGCTGGGCGCTTGTTTACTTGTCTCCAACAGGAGGCAGTCTCTCGATGACGGGTAGGAGGAGAGCCTGGATCATAGGTTCTTGCTGAGTTAAATCCACAGCAATAGGGCTTTTTCTTTGTTTCTTTCACGTTCCCTGGACAGATAGGCCTTTGCGGAATAAAGGTTTGATATATAAATATGTGTATATATATATATTTTTTTTTTTTTTTCCCGCATATTGCTGGTCTTGGTTTTGGGTTCAGTGCTCAGGATTCACTCCTGGTGGGACTCGCTCTGGGTACCATAAGTGGTGTCAGGGATGGAACCCGGGTCAGCCTCATGCAAACCACTGTGCTATTGCTCTGGCCCTGGCCTTTAAGGTTTGATTTATAAGTAGTTAGTGTGGAGAAAGAAGAGTGCTGGGAGCCTTACAGCTGCTTTGGACTGTTATAAAGGTTGTTTTGTAAAGAAGAAAAGACTTTTACAGCGGTGTGTTTTGATTCAGGATTTCCTAATAACAGAGTGGGCTAGAACTGTTTAAAAATGGACATTCCCCCCAGCTCCACACACCCTCGCAGCCAACATGGATAGACTCTAATCCCAAAGCCTTTTCCAAATCTAATTCTCTGGTTATCTGTTCTACTGAGGGCAGTTGCTTTCGTGAATTTCAAGGAGCAAAGTGTCCTGACATGTGGTGTTTGCCAGTTGCCTGGACCACCATAACTTTTATTTATTTTTAAAATTTTTGTCTTTTGGGGCACACCTGGCCGTGTTTAGGGCTTACTTCTGGCTCTGCGCTCAGGGATCACTCCTGGCGATGCTTGAACTGGGGCCAGCGGAATGCAAGACAAGCACCTGCACTTCGGCCTGGAGTTTCCACGCTAGGAAAGAGTTGGCCATCTCTGTTTTGCGTTTAGCTTTCCCTCTTTTCAGAGCAGTTCGTTACTAGGCCTACCTGCAGATAAAGAGTAGACAGTGACAGAGAAAAGGGTGTCTGTTAGACATTTGTCTTGGTGAGGTTGGCTCCGCGCATAGGAAGACAGTCATTCATGTTTAGCTTCATTGCCAGGTCAGCATTGTCCTGTTGTTGGTGACCCCTTCAGTCATCTGTTTCACAAGAGGAAATTATTTTGAGTTATCTCAAGTAACTTTTTCTGTGTCTATGTCTATGGAATTGAATAAAATATTCATTTCATTTCATTTCATCATCCTGTTAATCGTCGATTGCCTCGAGCAGGCCCCAGTAACGTCTCTTTCATCCTAGCCCTGAAGTTATATTCACGGCTCTTTAGGAGAATGAGACCCATCATTGTTACTGGTATTTGGCATAAAATATGATTTATCTTTTTAGGCACTTGACAAGCGATGTACTTTTTTTTTTTTTGCTTTTTTGGGTCACACCTGGCGATGCACAGGGGTTATGCCTGGCTCTGCACTCAGGAATTACTCCTGGCAGTGCTCAGGGGACCATATGGGATGCCGGGGATTGAACCCAGGTCGGCCACGTGCAATACAGACACCCTATACCCACTGTGCTATCGCTCCAGCCCCGGACAAGCGATGTACTTTTTATTTGTTCTTTTGTGTTGTGTTTGGTTTTTGGGGTCACACTTGGCAGTACTCAGCGCTTACTCTGGCTCTGTGTCCAAGGGTCATTCCTGGTGGTGCTCAGGGGAACCCAGTGGGATGCTGGGGAATGAACCTGTGTTGGCCGCCTGCAAGGCAAGCGCTAGTTTGCTGTACTATCTATCTGCTCTGTGCTCTTACATTTATTTTGATTTAAACCTAAAACTTTCAGTGCTGGGAGATACTACAGGGGTTAAGCATGTGCATTGTGTGTCAACCCAGAGTTGATCCCTGGCACTGTGTGTCCCCCAGGGTAACTCGGAGGCCCTCAGCACTGCTCGGGTGTCATCTCTTAGGCCTGAGCAGTACTGCCTCCATGACTCCGAGTACCACCTGGAAATCTCCATCTCACCCTCCCCCAACGACAACAAAGGAACAAAACCCCTAAAACTTTCAAGAAAAAGAAACTGTAGACCCAGTAACTTAGAGATTGATTTTTTTCTTCTGATGGCCTTGAAAACTTCGTACAGGCTATTCTACTACAAAGGAAGCCAGAAGAAACGGTATTTCACAAATATAGATTGTGAATCTCTCTTTTGGTTTGTTTTTTTGTGTCACCCTAGGCCGGACTGGGAGCTACTTCAACTCAGTACTTTGGGAATTGTGCAGTGCCAGGGCTTTAACCCGGGCTCCTGCAGGCAGAAAACACTGCGAGTCATATCCCTGGGCCCAGATTAACTGGAAACACAAAAATGTTCTGTGATACACTAAACAAACCAGGGTAAATAGAAATCAGCTTCAGAGGTAGCAGGAGATTGTGTAATGCCCTCTGAACATGTTTTATTTGATATTGTTTTAGGTACCGTCAGATCTTGGAAAAAGCCATTCAGTTATCTGGGGCAGAGCAACTAGAAGCTTTGAAAGCTTTTGTGGAAGCAAGTAAGTAACTGAAAACTCGGTGTTTGCCGAGTTAATGAGTTAAAATTTTAAAGTTTGCTCCAGTCTTGTTTTATGTCAGAATGTCATTTTAATTAGTCCTGAAACTAAATGAACTCTTCATTGAGATCAAAGGATTCCTTCATTTGAACTCTGTGGTGTGTGTACCCTGGGTCTTAGGCTTGTGAAGTCTGTGCTCGCCAGTGAGCCACACTGCTGACTCCAGAATGTAAACTTTTCTTTTTTTTTTTTTTCTTTTTGGGTCACACCCAGCGATGCTCAGGGGTTATTCCTGGCTCTGCACTCAGGAATTACTCCTGGCGGTGCTTGGGGGCCCATATGGGATGTTGGGGATTGAACCCAGGTCCGCCGCGTGCAAGGCAAACGCCCTACCCGCTGTGCTATCACTCCGGCCCCCTGAGAATGTAAACTTCTAAAACTTGATTAGTAGTCAGTGAATTATCTTGTTGTGTTGCCAGTAATGGTCTTGTGTTGCTATTAATACAGTAACTGATGAGAGAGAATGTTGTGGAATAGAGAGATAGCCTGGATTCAAATCCCAGTCTGTTTTATTAGCTGTTATTTTGGGTACGTCATACACCTTGGCGCCTCCTTTTGCCTTCTCCTCCCTCCCTCTGTGCTCAGGGTCCCTCCTACCAGGCTCAGGCGACTCTGTGCAGTGCAAGAGATCAAACATGTGTTGACTGCATGAGTGCAAACTCCTTACCCTCTGTATTATCTCTTCGGCCCCTCCTTTATCTGTAAAATATTATTACAAACTATAGAATTCTTGAAAAACTACATGGGTTAGTACAGATAGTAAAAGTGGTTAGAGTAATTCCTAGAGTATACATGTTTCATGCGTGTTAGAGGGCTCCAGCGATAGATCTGCAGGTAGGGAGTTTGCCTTGCACGTGGCCAACCCGGGTTCAATTCCTCCACCCCTCTCGTAGAGCCTGGCAAGCTACCGAGAATATCCCACTAGCACGCTAGAGCCTGGCAAGCTCCCTGTGGCGTATTGGATATGCCCAAAACAGTAACAATAAGTCTCACACTGGAGACGTTACTGGGCCCGCTCAAGCGAATCGATGAACAACGGGAGGGCAGTGCTACAGTGCAGAGGTTATTCATGTTAAAAACTTAAAAAAAATGAAGCTAAATATTTAAAGAACTCTTATGTAAAGAAATTTGCCTAGAGAAATGTGGGCGTGCTGGGGGGGAGGGGGAGATCTCAGAACACAGGCTAATCCTGAGGGGGGGAGCCAGAACATTCTTTTTAAACACGTTTTTTTGCTTTTCAAGTTGATTGAAGCATGTCACACACATTAGGCACACACTTCGTGTTTCTACAAAGTGAGCATTGTTGAGCAGAACCCTGATGATTAAAGAGAGGACTGTCACCATCTAATGTCCCCTACTGCAACTCTAACAGAAGCGTCTTAAATACAACAATAGTATGGCATATTAAATAAAAGACTACAGATTTCAGTTGTAAAGCAGAAGTTACACTTTTTCTTTTTTTCCTTTTTGGGTCACACCCGGCGATGTACAGGAGTTACTCCTGGCTCTGCGCTCGGAAATTACCCCGATGGGAAAGGGTGTTGTCCCTCCACCTGCTCCCCTAAGTGGCTTGGTGGCCGCTATCCTTCAGAGGCCCCCGGACAGTCAGGTTTGGGCCCTCAGTGACGAGACATTGTGGGGCCTCACGGGAAGGGGGGTGGAACTGGCCCTTTCCTCCCTACCCCAGCGAGACCCTGAGTCGCCGCCCATGAATGGCCTTTCTGGCTCCTGATCAAGCTGCTTAACAGCCATGATCCCAGAGACTCGTGAACAAATCTTGGAACCCGGCAGGTTTTGGCAGAAATCCCTCCAGATTTAAGTGTTAAAATTTCGGAATTTCAAAATGGCGCAGCCACTACTGCAGTCACACGACATCATATGTTATTCATAGCCAGAAATAGAAAACAAATTGTCTACTGTTGCCTTTTCGGCAGATCTGAGTGTTGGGGTAAAATCCCAAATAATAATGGTGGGTCTGGTGTCAAAATACTGAATGTGATCAAAGTAGAGAGAGAGTAATGTGGAAATCACCTGCCCCACAGGTAGGGGGATGGTGTGGGATGGGGGTATACTGGGGTTGTTGGGGATAAAGAATGGGCACTGGTGAAGGGACGGGTGTTTCATTCTATGACCGAGACTTAGACCCGAAAGCTTTGTAACTGCTCTCACGGTGATTCAATAAATAAAATTATAAAAAATGGGGGAAAAAAAGTAAGGTGGAGTTCATGCCCAATTCAATCAGCTAATCAGTAGCTGAATAGCAGTACTCCTACATAAAAAGAACGAACGAACGAAAGAAAGAAAGAAAGAAAGAAAGAAAGAAAGAAAGAAAGAAATTACCCCTGGCGGTGCTCAGGGGATCATATAGGATGCTGGGAACCGAACCCAGGTTGGCCGCGTGCAAGGCAAATGCCCTACCTGCTGTGCTATTGCCCCAGAAGTAACACTTTAAAAATTTTATTATATTATTGTTTGATTTTATTTATTTTTATTGAATCACTGTGAAGTAGACCTTACAAAGCTGCCCATGGTTGGATTTCAGTGGTACAATGTTCCAATAGCCCTCCCTCCACCCGAGTAACGTTTTCCGTGATAAGTACACTCAGCCAGAGCTCCAGGGCAGGGGTTGGAGCGTTTGCCTTGCCTGCAGACAGCTCCATCTGGTCCCCTGACACTGGGGGGAGACTCTAAAACGTCGTCTTTGGTAGAGGGGGTGTCTGATTACCTAGTCTACTCCCCTTGCCTCCCACCCCTCAAGGAAGAGGACAGACGCCAGAGATTCAGAATAAAATACTTCAGCCGCGTGTTGGGTTGAGAAAAAGGAGTCAAACATCCATTAGGAAAGAATGGAAAATATTCTGTTCATATTTATAAAATCTTAACAGAGATCATCCTTGGGTTGGCCGTGGGCAAGGTAGGCGCCCTTCCCACTGTGCCTTCACGCTGACCCTGAAGCTGGAGATCTAGTATGGGGTCCCTAGGGTCTTGGAAACAGTGCCTCAACACCTCAGACCCCCGTTTGTACCCTCTCTTCTGCTCCCCATTCCAGCCTTGAAGGTAGAATCGGGGTCTCTGGTGTTTATATTTGGGGGCTCACCTGGAAGTGCTCAGCTCGTCCTTCTGGCTCTGGGATCAGCCCGGTAGGATTTGGGGGACCCGATGAGGTCTCTTTGGCCTGTGCAAGGCAAGCGCCCTCCCCCAGTACTCTCTGGCCCGGGGGTCTGAGTCTAGTGAGTACCCTCTACAGCCCGCACCTTCCAAGTCTCCTCTTAACTGCTACCTGCTTGAGGGGTCTTGGTTTTTCTTTTCCTTCCAAATTTTCTTTTCCTTCCAAATTTTCTTTCGATACGGTGATTTGTGGTGCTGTTAACCACCCCCACATCTCCCGCTCAGCAAACCGAGTTCCGCAGTCCAGCCCTCAGGCTCTGTTCCCACTGGCCGTTTGTCATTCCCTCACTGTGTTTCTTTACATTCCACACAGGAGTGAGACCCTTCTGGACTTACCCCTCTCTCTGCCTTCACCAGCTCTGCCAGCACCCTGGGGTGTCTTTACTGATGAGCGTTTCTCTCTGTCTCCACCCCCTTGGCGCTGTTCTGTCCCTTGCTGTAAAAACTTCGTTGGGTTTCAGATTGGGTCTGTATAAATCATCCCACATCTCTGTGTAATTTGATGCCAGAGGAGATAAACAGGTTATCCCTTTTCTGCCGTGTAGGCCTCATCCTTCCCGTGTCAGAATCCAAGGACATTTCTTTGCACTGGAACCTGGAAATACCTTATGTCCATGACATTCTTCCCAACTCCCTCACGCCAAGCATGTGGTTGTCTGGAAGCTTATTCAGAGTGCAGGCTAGAGGAAAACTGAGTCGTAGTGTTCATAATACATGGGAGTGCTTTTAGTATGTCTGTGAATATATAGGCGTATATAAAAAAATACAGTTGTAGGTAGCACTGTAAGATCATTATAAAATAAGTTTCAGGATTAACTTTTTTTTAAAATAATTTATTTCTTTATTGAATCACTGTGGGAAAAGTTACAGAGCTTTCGGGTTTAGGTCTCAGTCATGAACTAATTTTTTTTAAACTGGAACATTCAATTAGTCAGTAAAGGAGCACAAACTGGAAAGTTAAGTTTTCTGGTTTCTAATCCTTATTTACTAACATTTCCGTGAGAAGTATTTGCAATAACTTGGAGTAAGTCTTGTAAGGCACTTCTAATAAAACTTCTCAGTTATATCTAGTACTACCTAATAATGAATTCCATTGAATATATTTTATAAAGATGTTATAAGATTTATAAAGTATTGTCTCCAAAAATTGGGTTCTGAGATGAGATGAACCAAAAAAAATCAATTTGTTATACTTGTTTTCTCTCACAGTGATGTTATTGAAGTCATTGTCTGAGGAGGATTTATTGGGCTGTGGTGTCAGTTGATCAGATAATTTTTTAGAAATCATCATTTATATTTCTGGAGATTGCTGATTTAAGCCTTAATTACCTAAGCAGTGTTTCCAGTTGGATGCATAGGGTCTAAGCAGTGTTCATAGTTGATGAATAGTGCCGGAGAGATAGTACAGGGCTTATGTGCTTGACTTTTTTTTTGGGGGGGGTCAGGGATCACATCCAGCAGTCCTCAGGGCTTACTCCCAGGATCACTTCTGGCAGGGTTGGGAGACCATCTGGGGTGCTGGGGATTGAATCCAATTTGGCAGAGTGCAAGCATCCTACTCACTGTCCTGTCTCTGACTGATAGACACTGTTTCAGGCCCAGCACACCTCAGCCCCCTGGGTACTGCCACCTATGGCCCAAGCGCACACCCCAAAGTAGAGACAGTAATGTCTTGGGGGTTGCTTGCCAGGTATTGTTTTTGCTTCTTGGGCTGGAGCGATAGTACAACCTGTAGGGCATTTACCTAGCACGTGGCTGACCAGGGTGGGGGTGAGCGGGGCATCCCATTTGTTCCTCCAAGCACTGTCAGGAGTAATTCCTGAGTGCAGAGACAGGAGTAACCTCTGAGCATCACTTTTGGGTGTGACCCAAAAGGGGGAGGAGGGGAAATCCCACTTTTCTTCTTAATCTTAAACTGAATTGTCATCCTGTACAGGTTGTGTAACTGAATGTAGGGGTTATTAAAAAAAAATCTTAGAACTCTTTGAAAATAAATTTCTTTATGCTTTATTATAAATAAGTGTTCAGTTTGTATACCTCTTTTATATACCTTTTATCTGGGCTTGAGTGAAAATTTCTTGCTTAAAAAGGGACCACAAATGGAAAATTGTGAAAAGCCCTGGGTTTTTATGTTGTTTTTCGGGCCACACTGGAGATGCTCAGGGCCGTGTAAATGGCTCTGTGCTCAGCCGTGATACCTGGCGGTGCCCGGGGGACCATAGGTGGTGCTGGCAGGCACAGAGCACAGGGCAAGTGCCTGGAGACTCCAGCCCTAAAAAGCCAGCCTGGTTTAAAGCGCTTTGTATAGATTGCATTTTAGATTCACGATTCCTTACTCACAGTTGATGGCTCAGGGACCTAATCACGGAAAAGTGAAATTTGTTGTCTGGGAGCATATAACTGAGAGTGGTGGTTACAGTGTGATTCTAGAACTTTCATCTTACCTGCCACTGTATGTATGAGGTGTATACCTCATACTTGTTTGTGAATGACTTGGTAAAATGCATCCGTATTTCCAGTACCTACTTAGCTTCCAATTTGCCGTGTTTTTTTTTTTTTCTTTTCTGGAGAATAGGAGTGGTAGTAGCTGTTTCTGTATGCTTTGTTTAATTTTTTTCTCCTTTTTTGGTTTTTTGGGTCACACCCGGCGATGCTCAGGAGTTGCTCTTGGCTCTGCACTCAGGAATGACTCCTGGTGGTGCTCGGTGGACCATATGGGATGCTGGGAATCGAACCTGGGTCGGTCGCTTGCAAGGCAAACGCTCTCCCCGCTGTAATATTACTCCAGCCCCAGCTCTGTTTAATTTTCATGGAAATTATTTCACTGTCCTTCAACTCCTTTCTGTAACTGGGTGGGTGGAGTAATAGTATGTAAATAAAAATATAGGTGTTTCTCTTCCTCCACTTCCTAGAAGATTTTAACAGAGGAAGAATGTAGAATTTTCAACTGTTAAAAGCTTTTTCCTAGGTGCCAGAGAGATAGTATTTTACTCTTTTGCACTTGCCTTGCACACGGCCAACCTGGGTTTGATCCCCAGCACCATGTATGCTCCTCTGAGCCCCCCAGAGTGATCCCAGAGCTCAGGTGGGAGTGAGCCCTGAGCACTTCTGGGTATAGTCAACACAAAACAAGATAAACCCTTCTTCCTAACCATTTGTTTCTTGGAAAAGTTGCAGTAATCTTACTGTTTGGGTGTAGTCTTGGATCTACAATGATCTGAAATCATGGTCATCAAAATGATTCAGATTGAGGAAAACTGATTATGAAATACAAGGTGCTAGGGGTGTGAAAATTCCTGAACAATACAGTGAAAGTTGTGCTAATATCGATTGTTTTTATAATTAGTTTAAAGGTTGTTTACAGTAGATCTGTTGTTCATGTTTTCTTACCCCTCTTGTTTTTAACAAGTGGTGAACGAGAATGTCAGCCTGGTGATCTCTCGGCAGCTGCTGACTGATTTCTGCGCACACGTCCCTAACCTGCCTGATGGCACCGCCAAAGACATTTATCATTTCACCTTGGAGAAGATCCAGCCCAGAGTCATTTCCTTTGAGGAGCAGGTAAGGTACTGGTGCAATGTTTTTTTTTTTTTAAACTTGAGATAACAGCCGTTATTTTGAGAGATATTTTAAAGATTTTAAAGGAGATACTCATTTAAGTTCATTCTTGTCAAAGCAGTACATAGCAGTACATAGCATTTTACAGTGTAAAATAGTATTAAGATGTTTTAACACCAGCTGATCCTTGTTTATATATTATAGTTTAATTTTATGAACCAAACAAATGGCAATATTCAGATAATTCAAAATTCAGTAAAATGAATTAGATTAAGAACATAGGAAGACATTATAAATCAGTAACACAAAAGCAAATCTCAATATTGAAACTGAATTATTTGGGTAGTGTTAGATAAACTTGAACTCTTTACCCATCAGCTTAGTTTGAATAACTTTCAATAGTAGAATAACGTACCTAATTGCTAATAACACACATACTTATTATTCCAGGTTGCTTCCATAAGACAGCATCTTGCATCTATATATGAGAAGGAAGAAGACTGGAGAAATGCAGCCCAAGTATTGGTGGGAATTCCATTGGAAACAGGACAAAAGTATAGTAAATAGTGAATATTGCATGGCTGTATAATAGGATATGTAGTATTTACTCACTTGCACTTTTTCTGTTCTATTTTAGTGCAGAAACAGTGACAAATTTTGTGCTGTATTAGAAGGTGATGAGTGTTACAGGAAAAAAAAGTAGGGGACAAGTGAAATCATTAAATAGGGTGACTGTCATGGCAGGTTGGTCCTGATACTTCCTTCTCAAAGGCTTGGAGGAATCAGCGGAATGAATGACCTAAGGTTTCAGCGGGTCATTTTGGCGAGGATGGTTGGTACAAAGGCCCTGAGAGAGTTCATTTGAGGTGCTTGACGAGGCGTCCAGCGAGGGTGGAGAAGAGCGACAGAGGGAGAGGCAGGACTGGGGTGGACGGCTGACTCCGGTGCCGTGCAGCCTCCTGAGCCGTGCTTGGCCTCGGCTTTATACGCTGGAGGCTTTGACATGTTCTAACTTGGATGTGTTTTTGTGTGTGTGTTTGGGGGCTGCATGCACAGGGCTCCGTAATTACTCCTGCTTCTGTGTTGAGGATCCTTAAGGGGTGCTGGGGTTGACCCCAGCCGGCCGTGTGGAGGCAGGCGCCCTCCCTGCTGGACTGTTTCTCTAGTCTGGGAGGGGGTGGGAGATTTTCTTGTTTATCTCTCTGGCTCCGGCCTGGAGCTTTTCTAAAGGAGCATCACTGCCTGGTTTCACAAATGCACAAAAGACAAGGTATAAATGTTGTTTGCCTTATCAGAAACATTAATAAAGGCAAAAAATTCATCAATTCACCTGTTATACGCGTAAAACCCTTTCCTGCTAGATACTGACTTCTCTAGTCCATTCACCCAGGCACGTTTTTTCTCACACTCTTGTCTCTTCCTCTGTCCTCCACTCACACCTCAGATGATGACTGAGTCCTCTTCTGTAAGAATATTGCAGCAGGAGTCCCCGAGTGCTCACTCCACACACACACACACACACACACACACACACACACACACACACACTCAGTTATAAACACACACATGCACTCAGTTCTGTGTTCCTGGCCGTCACTGTATGGACTGGGTACACTCTGCCCGCCTGGGAACAAGGACTCTGTCTACAGACATTTCAGACTGTTAGAATTGTGCCTGGTTGTGCAGCTGCTGGTGTCGAGATAGTACAAGGGGAAGGCCTTAGCATGCAGCAGACCTGGGTTTGATCCCCGGCATTCCATATGGTACCCTGAGCACCACCATGGCCACGTGAGGCCCAAAAACCAAAAAAAAAAAAGAAAAGAAAAAAGAAAGGCTTTCCATTTATGAAAAGCCTTTCTTCATATGCAAATGTTAGATTTTGCTTTTCAGAGCCAACTCCAATTCCTTTACCAGTGTCCACGTCCCTTCACCAATGTCCTGTTTCCCTCTCACGCCCTAGCCTGCCGCTATGACAGCCACTTTTTTTCTTCTTTTTTTCCTTTTAGGCACTGTGGTTACACTAATGTTGCTGAAAGGGTAGCATGCAAGTCACATTGCCTGCTTTCAGCACCCAGCCCTTTCCAGAGTGAAGTGGTCTGGGAATACTAAGTGCAATAAGATATTTAGAGAGAGACTGTATTTCTGTAACTTTTATTACAGTGTATTGCTGTAATTGATTTTGTTACTATTAAAGGTAAAGGTAAAGGTAAAGGCCCTCCCGTTGATCGTCGATTTGCTCGAGCGGGCCCAGTAACGTCTCCATTGGAGACTTTGTTGTTACTGTGTCTGGCATATCGAATACTCTCGGTAGCTTGCCAGGCTCTCCGAGAGGGACGGAGGAATCGAACTCGGGTCGGCCATGTTGGCCGCGTGTAAGGCGAACGCCCTACCCGCTGTGTTACTGTTATTTTTGGTAAAATAATTCCTCTGTGTTTTTCTGTTATATCCTAGGCAGTACAATGTAGATTATAAGCTGGAGACTTACCTGAAAATTGCGAGGCTATACCTGGAGGATGATGACCCAGTCCAGGCCGAGGCTTATATAAATCGAGCATCATTGCTCCAGAACGAGTCCACCAACGAACAGCTACAGATACATTATAAGGTAACAACTCTGTTGCGCTCATTTTGTTTCGGAGAATTCCTTCTATTCTAAGTTGCAGGATAAACGCTATTAAATATCAACTCCATTTTAGAATTTTTTGCTTTTACTTTAAAATTTTCTTCCTAATGGGAACATTTCCCTCTGTAGGTATGCTATGCACGTGTTCTTGATTATAGGAGGAAATTCATTGAAGCCGCACAGAGGTACAATGAGCTCTCCTACAAGACAATAGTCCATGAAAGTGAAAGACTCGAGGCCTTAAAGCATGCTTTGCACTGTACCATCTTAGCATCAGCAGGTAAATACTGAATTTATGTTTCAATGAGTGGTTATCTTCGTTTAGTGATTTCAAGGCTCATTATAGAATTTAGCAAGGAATTGCTTTTCAAAAGGATGTCTTACTAATATTATGGCAAAATTTAGTGATAGTACAGTGGGTTGTGTGTTTGCCTTGCATGCATCCTACCTGGGTTCGATTGTGGTATGGTCCCCAAGCCTACCAGGATGGTTCTGAGCCCAGAACCAGGATTATGCCCTGAGCACTGCTGGGTGTGGCCGCAGAATAAAACAAATAGGGACAGAAAACAGTGTGGCATTTACCACCTACAGCAGGTAGGTCGTTTGCCTTGCATGAGGCCCACCTGGGTTGCATCCTCTGAATCCCATATGGTCCCCTGAGCACTGTCAGGAGTAATTCCTGAGTATAGAGCTAGGAGTGACTCTGAGCATTGCTGGGTGTGGCCAAGACCAAAACAAAATTTAAACATTTATTTTAGTGCAAAACAGCATTAAATTGATTGTTAACTTAAGTTTTAAATATGCATGTGTCTGTTACCCACAGGTGTAGTAACAGGTAATAGGAAATTTAGTTTTTCTAAAATATCCCTAAAAGGATATCAGATTAAGTGAGAATTGCACAGATGGAAAAACAAAAATGTATAAATTGGTGTCATATCAACTCATTGCTATTGGGATTTTTTTTTTTTAAAGTTTTCATTCTGAGTTTTACACCTGGCATTTTTCTATTTCTTCAGTAAGTTTTAAAAAAATGACTGTGTAGTTTCTTTTTACAACTTTATAGCATGTAAGTCACTGTCACTGTCCTCCCGTTGTTCATCAGTTTGCTCGAACGGGCCCAGTAACATTGGGAGACTTGTTACTGTGTTTGGCATATTGAGTACGTCACGGGTAGCTTGCCAGGCTTTGCTGTGCAGGCGAGATACTCTTGGTAGCTTGCCGGGCTCTCCGAGAGAGGCAGAGGAATCGAACTCGGGTCGGACGTGTTGGCCACGTGCAAGGCAAACGCCCTACCGCTGTGCTATTGCTCCAACCTCAACTTAAAGGCAGGGTGGATATTGCAAGGAAAAACTGGTAATTCTAAGCCATTCCTTTTCTCGGTCATTTGGATGTTCTTCATTATCATTATTAGGTTTGGGGCCTCCACCCAGCAGTGCTCCGGAGCTTCCCAGGTGGGTGCTCAGAAGTTGCCCCAGCAGTGCTCAGGGAACTGTGCTTTGGCAGAGCTCACACTTTGGGGCTCCTGAGTGTCATCTTGCCCTCTGACTCCCTGAAATGTTTATTCCTGAACTTTGTAGTTCAGAGCCTAATGGCTTTTTCAGCTACATATTACTTTCTTTTTTTTTTTCCTTTTTTGCTTTTTTTGGGTCACATTTGGCTTTGCCCTCAGGAGTCACTCCTGGCGGTGCTCAGGGTCCATATGGGATGCTGGGAATTGAACCCAGGTTGGCTGCGTGCAAGGCAAATGCCCTACCCGCTGTGCTATCACTCCAGCCCCTACATACTACTTTCGATTGAAGACTACTTTTTTTTTTTAATATATCACAGCGGGTAGGGCGTTCGCCTTACAAGCGGCCAACATGGCCGACCCGAGTTCGATTCCTCCGCCCCTCTCGGAGAGCCCGGCAAGCTACCGAGAGTATTCGATATGCCAGACACAGTAACAACAAAGTCTCCAATGGAGACGTTACTGGGCCCGCTCGAGCAAATCGACGATCAACGGGAGGGCTTATTTATTTTGAATACCCATCCCTCCACCAGTGACCATTTCCCACCACCACGGATCCAAGTATCCCTCTCACCCCCCACCTCCTCCCCATCCCACCCTGCCTCTGTGGCAGGGCATTCCCTTTTGTTCTCTCTCTCCTATTGGGTGTCGTGGTTTGTATAAGAGTTAAGCCTGATTTTCAGGGAGAAACATTGGATGATTTACTTTCCATTGATCACTTTGTATATAGGGAGATGTCGCGTGGCCGCATGAGCGGCCATGCGATTTGAAATAAAGGTCCTGGTTCCCACATACTCGAGCTATGCTTGTAGAGGCTTCTGGTCACTGGGGTTCCATCTGGAGGAAGTGGGATGAGCCACCTACCCCATCTGGGAATTCCCGGTGATCTCGGCTCTTTTTGGGACCTGGTGTCTTCTCCGGGAGCTGTGGAGCCCCCCCATGCGGTCTTTCTTCTCTGTGGCTGTGTGCTGTAAAGATGGCGCTAGGGGGCGGGTTGTGGGCATGACTTCCGGAATCAGAGGTGACCTGGGAGCCGGGAAGGTCCTGGCAGTTTGGAGGAAAAGTCCTGGTTCCCGCATACTCGAGCTATGCTTGTAGAGGCTCATGGTCACCGGGGTTCCATCTGGAGGAGGCGTGGAGACTACTTTAGTTTTTGTTCTTGTAACTGGAAATAGACTAGATACCCAAGGAATTATTACTTATTATTTGTACTTCTTTCAGTATAATGTGTGTATGTTTATGTATATCCTTTATACAAATGGTCGCAAGATCTGCATAGTTGTAACTTACTATTTTTTCTATTTAGCTCTGTATCTTAGTGATTTTTATAAACCAACACATGTAACTTAATCTTTTCATCATTTTTTGGAGTTTGGTTTTACCATCACCAATTTGATTTAGTCAGGTATAATACTATAGTGATTTATGTGCTCATAGAAAGAGTTTAACTTTGAGAGGGTGCCCACATCCTGCAGTGCTCGAGCTTACTTTGGGGACCATATGGGGTGCCAAGGGTTGAACTTGGATTGGCTGCCTCAAGGCAAGCACCCTACTCGCTGTACTGTCTCTTTAGCACCTAGTTGAAGTTCTTAAAGGACACGTACAATTAACTCTGGGTAGAAGTCGTACATTATCTGTGTTGCCCTCCAGACAGCAGCGACCATGAGCCCTTGTTCCCTCACACACATGTGGAACCTGCTGGAAAACATTACCTAGTGCCCGCGGTGGGTGTGACGTGGTGCTTAGCTTCCTAAATGTACAGCACCAGAACTTAGCACCACAGCTTACTGTGGGTTTTTTTTGGGGAGGTGGGGGTTGGAGGATGGGGGGTGCTCAGGGTTTAGTCCTGGCTCTGTACTCAGGAGTCACTCCTGGTGGGCTTGGGGGGACCATGCCAGGGATCACACCGGGTTGGCTGCATGCAGGGCAAGCGCCCTACCCGCTGAGCTCTCACTTTGGCCCCCACGTATTTTTCATGTGTCATTTTAAAAAGTTGACTGTCATGACTGTCTTTATATAGCATCATTAGGGATGAGTCAGCAGGTGTATATTCAGTAAGGTGCCTTCACCCAGAAACGGGGCGGAGCTTCAGGGAGCTCACGTGAGAGAGGAATCGGACCAAGACGCAGGAATCCAGCCTCATACTGCCCCGAGGAGAAGTCAGTGGGTTTTCATAAATTCAGAGTCGCTGTCAATTCTGAATTTGACAGCAACGTATGGAACGCAGCTATCATGAATACAGAGAATTGACTGTATTTGAGGAGATTAGTGGAGTCACAAGAAAGATTGTTTTCTGCTGAAGAAATGGATGGTGAGACGATTTGGCGCTTGTTTCCGTAGGACAGCAGCGTTCTCGGATGCTTGCTACCCTCTTCAAGGACGAGAGGTGTCAGCAACTTGCTGCTTACGGGATCCTGGAGAAAATGTACCTGGACCGGATCATCCGAGGAAATCAGCTGCAGGAGTTCGCGGCCATGCTGATGCCTCACCAGAAGGCAACGACAGCCGACGGTAGTGACCGTGCGCTCCCAGGATATGCTCGCAATCCTGGACGTTCCTTATGAAAGGGTCTAATTTGGATACCTCCCAGAGCAGGGTTTTGGGGGGCTCCTGGGGGCGGAGGGGGAAACGACACCAATGGGGTTCAGGGCATACTCTGAGCTCTGTGCTCGGGATCATGTGGGAGGCTTGGGGCTGTACATGGTGCCAGGGATTGAACCCTGGTGGCTGCGTGCAGAGGCAAACTCCTTACTCACTCGACCCTCTCTCCAGTCCTGCCATGGTGTTTTATACAACACCTGATAAAACAGGAATATATTTCCTGGGGATGGTATCATTTTCAGAGATGGATTGGAAATACAAAATGGCTCTAGTAGTAAGTATTTGTGGAACAATGCGGTTTTTTTTTTTGTTTGTGTTTTTCTTTTTTGTTTGGCTTTTTGGGTCACACCCAGCGATGCACAGGGGTTACTTCTGGCTCTGCACTCAGGAATCACTCCTGGCGGTGCTCAGGGGACCATATGGGATGCTGGGAATCGAACCCGGGTCGGCCGCGTGCAAGGCAGATGCCCTACCTGCTGTGCTATAGAGATTTAGCACAGTAGAGATTTTAGAGTGGTTCGTAATAATAACACATTAATACAGATACAGAAGTATTATTGATACAGACGTGGAAACGTCCTTGATAAATTTGCAGATCTTTTAAACCCCACAGCTTTGAATATTTTTCTGGGGAGGAGGGGTACAACTGGCAATGCTTAGGGATCATTCCTGGCAGTGCTTGGGGGACCATAAGGGGTGCAAGGCATTGAACCTGGCTCGGCTGCCTGCAAGGCAACGCAACTACCCACTGGACTGTCTCTCTGGCCCCTCTTTTATATTGAAGAGAATTTAACTGTGAATGATTATCCATGTAGTTAACCTTTTTTTTTTTTTTGAGGATGTGAGGAGGTCACACCCAGATCAGAGGCTCCTGGCTCTGCCTCAGGAATTACTCCCGTCAGTGCTTGGGGGACCATATGGGATCCCTGGGATTGAACCTGGGGTCAGCCACTTGCAAGGCAAATGCCCTCCCCGCTGTGCTATCGCTTCAGTCCTGACAGTTACTCTTGACCCACTCTTACAGTCTTGAGTTAAATCAGATTATTGAAGGATTATGTTGACATTCTCTTAAATATTTTTAATTTAATTGCCCTTTAAAAAGCTACCAGTTGGTTTTCACTTTTCTGCCCAGGAGTCTAATACCATTTTTTTTGCTTTTTGGGTCACACCTGGCGATGCACAGAGGTTCCTCCTGGCTCTGCACTCAGGAGTTACTCCTGGCGGTTCTCAGGGGACCATATGGGATGCTGGGAGTTGAACCCAGGTTGGCCGCGTGCAAGGCAAACGCCCTACCCGCTGTGCTATCTCTCCAGCCCTGAGTCTAATACCTTTGAGGAGAGGGCCCTGTGCTACCTCACAGGAGGGTGGTCGGCCTGATCTCCCATGGTCACCCGAACGTTCCTCGCTGCACCGCAGAGGAAGGTGCTGCTGCAGTGTCCAAAAGAATAGAGAGATGACTGGAACTTAATGAGTTCAGAGAATAGAGAAATGACGAACTGAATGTGTTCTGTAGCACAGCAAGGGGACTGTGGCGCCTCATCGAGCTCAGAGAACATTTGCAGGACATTTTGTTGCTGTTTATTCATGTGACTCATAGCAAGGAATGTGAATACATCCATTAGCCTGCCCCCAAGGAAGCAGAACCCTAAAGGCAGTGTTAAGAGACTTCAGCTAGTCAGGAGTTACCTATGGCTTCCTGTCTAAATATGGTATTTGTATTTATCTGATTTCCTAATTATCAAGTAAGAATTTTGGTTACTTTTAAACCATCTAGAAAAGGAATAGTGATTATGAGTTACTTAATATCTAGAAATTTCAGAAATGTAAGATACATCTAAGAGTGTAAAGTGAATTTTAAATGTAACTGTCTTATGTCTTATGAAATGAAGGTTCTAGCATTTTGGACAGAGCTGTTATTGAACACAATTTGTTATCTGCAAGCAAATTGTATAATAATATTACCTTTGAAGAACTTGGAGCTCTTCTGGAAATCCCTGCAGCCAAGGTATTGTTTCCAATATAAGATAACAAGAACACGAAATGGAAATTAGGGCTGGGGCGATGATTCTAGAGAGCTGGAGTACGTACTTTGCATGCATGGTCCACGGGTTCAGTTCCTGCCACCCCACTGTCCCCTAGCCACTAAGGTAAAAAGCAAAAGAAACATGTGAGGCTCTGGGTTTGATTCCTAACTTTGCAACAAACAGAAGAATCTAAAATGACCAAATTAAAAAATGCAATTTTTAAACATCGACAGCTATTTCCAAAAAGATAAATAGGATGTGTTCAACAGAATGCATATTTAAGAGATTCCGGTAAAAGAAAGTAAATCATTTCTTGAGTGTTGAACTTGTGCTGTGGTGGAGTTGCCTGACCCTGGGCCTTCCAGTTCCATCCTCGGGGACGTGGGGTGTGGGACCATGGAGTGCTGGCCCCAGGCTCCTCGGGTCTGCAATACACTACACGCTGCTCCAAGCCCTGAAGCTCTCTCCCCGTTCCTCTTCTGAAAAAAGTATAGTTTATAATAAAGATAGGGACCTGAAATAGAACTCAAGGAGTTTTCAGGTTTTGCTATAAATTTTGTGAGAATGTTTTTAGTGTCTGTTTAAATCAAGTGGTTTCTGACTTCTAACTTGAGATTTTCATACCTGCTCTAGCTTGACTCATGGGTGAATGTCATTTCGATTCTGAGAGAACGACAGCAGTTAACACTCCATCCTATTCTTTTATAACTTCTGTGCTTGATTTAGCTAAAGAAGTTGACCTGAATTTCTTACAGAATTGGTTTCATTCTTAGTCACGATCAGGAGTTGGTTGATTATTATAAATTTCAGCAGGATACTGGTAGTATTTTTTGTTTTGGGGGCATGCCCAGCAGTGCTCAAGGATTACTCCTGGCTCTGCACTTAGATCATTCCTGGTGGGTTTTTGTGACTCTGTGGGGTGCCACAGTTTGAACTTGTGTTGGCCTCCTGCAAGGCAAGCTGTACTATCACTCTAGTCTTGACTGATACTATTTAGAAGGTATTTCAGGTACCATTAACAAAACATACTCTCAATTCAAAATAATGCCAGTAGCATTCGGGTAGCATTTCAATTAGCAGTATAAATATTCTCTTAATTTGGAGGGCCAGAGTGATTGTTCACTGGTCAGGATGCTTGCCTTGATGCGGCTCTCTGGCTCCCCAGAAGTCTGTCCACACACTGCCAAGAGTAATGCCCGAGTGCAGTGCAAGGAGTAAGCCCTGAGAACTAGGTGTGCCAAAGAATTTTTTTTTTCAATTTTAAATTATTATAAGAGTAAGGAAATCACTTTTTATTACTTGAAAAGCTTGGTTTTCTTCCTTAGTAAAGCAAAATTGTTTTGATTTCACAAAATTGACTAAGAGAAGTGTGAGAGGTGAGAGAGAAACCCATGTCCAAGAGAGAGCCTGGCCTTCTGCAGAGTGGACCTCTAAAATCGTGCAACATGGTGCCATCCCCTTCTCTCTCTCAGAGAAATTTTAGTTTAGGATTTTCTGACACAGTTCCTTTACTCATACGCATCCAGTATGTAGTAAAGGAGTGGAATAATTTGAGGACCAATGCTTAAGTTACTAGTAAAAGACGTTGAACAATAAAACGTGAACAGGAAATAGATGAACAGAGAAGTAAAGTTTAGCGCTGGCGAGCTGAACCAAGCTCTTTCAGACAGTTCTTTTGTCTTGTGTGAATGTTTGATACCATAATATTACTGAGAGTTTTTTGTTTCTGTGTTTGAAGGCAGAAAAGATAGCATCACAGATGATAACAGAAGGACGGATGAATGGATTCATCGATCAGATTGATGGGATAGTTCATTTTGAAAGTAAGACGGTTTTTTTCTGTCAGATCGAACTGGCCGTGTCCGGTCGTATATTTGTGATGAGGACGTGTTGAGGGCCAGGGAGAGCACAGGGATTGGGGCGCTGCCTTGCCTGCTGCTGGCCCAGTTCCATCTCCCGTCCTGCACATGTTCCCATGAGCACCACCAAGAGTGATCCCTGAGGCGGGAGCCAGGGGTAAGCCCCGAGCACGCCAGGGTGGCCCACCCTAACAACAACCCAGCCCCTGAAACAACAGTGTCGTATGTGGTTGCTTATACCAGGTGTTTTTCCAAGGCCCTTTTCTCCTCACTCCACCAAGCTGTTCTAGGTGGTGTCATTTGTTCCTTTGGATTCAGTTACTGTCTCGAGGTAGGCGATGTTTAGATTCATCTTTCAAGTGTACGTTTCTCTTGAACTCCCAACCTAGTGGCTCTCATTAACGGATGGGAGTTTCCCACCTGATGGTCCCGTAAGTATCTCAGAATAAACGGATTTCCCCTTCCTGCCTGCCAGTCAGTCACCCCAACACTGCATTGTTCATTTCCTTCAAATTTTTTGAGTTGAGGGTGCCCGCACCTCGTGGTGCTCAGGGGCTATTCCTGGCTCTGCACTCAGGAATCCTCCTGGCGGGGCTGTGGGGACCATACGGGATGTCGGGGATCCAACCTGGGTCGGCCACATTCTAGGTAAGCGCCCAACCTGCTGGCCTGTCACTCCAGCCCTCCTTGAATAGTCTTATCCTTGATGGCTTTTCTCCCCTGCTGAGAGTTCTTTCTGTTTTTCCTTTGATAGTTATCTGGAGTCCACGTGCTTTGTACATTTTTCCCTGCCCCCAGCCCACTCTTGAGTTTTCGTAAACCCTCCTGGGTGAGAATTCGCGACTTCACTATTTTCCCCTCGTATCACCACATGCCTGTTCCTAGTCCAGTGTCTCGGACTGACCAGAGCGATTGCAGTCTCTTAAAAATACAAATAGAGGAAAAACTTGAAATCACGTTGCTCTCGTCCTTGGGCTCTAGCAAATGGCCTTCCCCAAAGGTCATGAGACAAAATCAGTCTCCCAGGGCCCTGCACGGTCCTTGGTACCTCTTTCTTTTTGTTTTATGAGGTCACACCTGGCTGTGCCCAGAGTGTCTTCCTGGCTCTGCGCTCAACCCTATTCGGTATCATCCACTCTACAGAGAGGCTCATTTAGGGAAAACTGTTTTTTTGTGGCCCGTCACCGACAGAATGTTCCAGGACTATTTCTGTACTCCGCCTGGCTCCAGTGGTCAAGGACGGTATCTCAGGAATAGACGAGTTGCGAATGTTCCTCTCTGTAAAGCAGCTCTTACCTTCCCATTGCAATTGATTTTCATTGTCTTGAAATTCATATGACAGAAACCATTTTATCTGACTCGTGCCCTTCTTTTTACTCCCTTCTTTCCCCTTGGTTGTGTTGCCCAGGCTTGCGCGCGGGCTGTCTGCACACACCTGCTGTGGGGTCGCACGCCCGGCGCCTCCGAGCCCACCCTCAGTCTCGGAGATTCTGGGCATTGGAGCCGAGCACCGCCCCCCTGGGCTCCCAGACCCATCGTTTCAGTGATCAGTGATTCAGCTCGTGGGATGTAGTGGGTGATGCCAGCTTAGTGCCCAAACGTTTTTCAGGCTGGAGAGACGGTACAGGGGTTAAAGCACTTCCTGTATGTGGTTTAACCAGGACAGCCCTGCTTTGATGCGGGGTCCCTTGAGCACCGCTGGGAATGGCCCCAGAACAAAGCAGAGTTTCAGCTCCCGGAAAGGAACTCCATCCTTAATTAGGCAGTTATTTGCAATTCCTTCCTCTGCCTGGGCCCTGGCCACTCTGGTCATATCTAGATACATACATGTGGGTATATAGATGTTTAAATGTGGATTTATCTGTCCTTCTATCCTTAAATATGGGTATATGTGTAGATGACTCTAGATACAGGTATGAGGAGCTACGCTTGGATGTATATGGGCATGTGTGTCGATAAAGATTGTCTTTCTGTGAAGACAGGTTTGGAGTCATGGGACGATAGCATTCTCCCTCAACACAGTTCTTTCCGGTTTTCGTTCATACTGTAGCGTGTAATCAGTATTCTGAGGCTGAGTGACGGTCTTCCACTCTGCAGGTACCACGGTTCTGCCACTGCTTGTTTGGGGCCTGCTCTGGGGCACCCAGCAGTGCTGTGGATCGAACTTGGGACCATTCCGGCCTCTCAGTGTCTCCTGGCTCCCACATGATCATTCTCTCATACCTAGTGCTGGGTAGAGAAAAACCCTGTAGATTCTTGATGAGATTGTTTGGGGTTTTTTCTTAAATATCTAAATGTTGTTCAGAGTGAAGTAGGAACAACCTTGACCTTGCGAGTGGACTTGCCTCCCCACTAGGTGGCAGTGTCACACCGCTTAGGGCAGCAGTGCAGGATCCCGGCCCTCTCTGCCTTTGTGGGAGCTGTGCTTGGTCTATTGTGTTTTCTTGAGTAATGAAAATATTAATAATTTGTATCTGTGAATGTATAGGTTTTTTTTAATGGTTTAAGCCATAAGCTGACTTTTTATGATTTGGCCACTTTGCTTGACTCTTAGCTTGATTATATTAGTCATGATTTTGGAGTAAAAATCACTACCACTGTATGTATATTTTAATTCACCTTTCTGAGTAGTTCAGAGGAGGGTGACTTCAGCTCTGCATTTTGTTCCTTCTTTCTTTAGCAAGAGAAGCCCTGCCAACGTGGGACAAGCAGATCCAGTCACTTTGTTTCCAGGTGAATAACCTCCTGGAGAAAATCAGCCAGACGGCGCCAGAATGGACGGCCCAGGCCATGGAGGCCCAGATGGCCCAGTGAGTCCTCCCGAGCGTGGGTGCACACTACATCCTTCTCCACGTTGTCCAGGTCAACTTCACGCTCCAAAGCATTTGCATCCTGACGTTACTATTTCAGTCCCTTTTATGCCGGATTGCATTTAAAGCCGACATTCGTAGAGCAAGAAGTGCAGCATTTGGAAATAATGTAGTTCTCATATATTCAGGTTCTCCGTGTATCAAATTAACTCAGATGTTTTGAAAGCTTTTTCTTTAAACTGAGTGAAATATCTGTGGCTAAAAGGTTTGGGATTTGTGATAACTTTGTAGTCATGTAAAATTGAAGTGCTTTGTGCCTCCAAATGTGATTATTCTAATAAACGGTGAAGTGAGCCGAATAAAAGGAGTGTTGTTTTTAATTAGTGAACGTTGTTGATCCTTCTCCCTCTCCATCGACACTGAGTTGATACCCTGTACGAGAAACGTGGGCATTAGCCCCAGTGCCTTTTGGCCAAGCCCAAGCGCCACAAAGCTGAAGGAGAGTATGTGTAACTTAGCAGAGAGATGAGACACTTGCCCACAAAAGAAGGTAATTTCTGCCTTGCTGTATAGAGAAATGGGGGAAGGACTTGCAAATTACAAGTTGGTGGCCAATTTCACTTTTCACTCCAGGGTGTATACAGAAGATTGGGTCTAGAGTAATAGAAAGGCAGGTAGGCCTTGCCTTGCGTGTAGCCAACATGAATTTGATCCCTGGAGCCACATATGGTCCCCTGAGCCCCAACAGAAGTGATCCCTGAGCACAGAGGCAGGATTTAGTCCTGACTCTCAAAAAAAAAAAAGAAGTGTAGGAGGAAAATTAAAAGTGATGAGGAGGAAAGATTTTCATCAGGACATTGTTGCACAGCGACAGAACAAAAAAACATGAAAGATGTTTCTGTGTATGTACATCTGTATTGGAAGATAATGAAACGAGGTCGAGTTGAATTAAGTCCTATTGAATTTTTTTAAAACTAAAGCCTCAGATAAGCTGTTGGAAATCAGTAAATATTGCTTTGTAATATTCATAGTACAAACATGGAAGCAAAATTTTGGCTAAAGGACATTATGTGTCTTTTATTAGCTCTCTGTAGTCTTCCCGCCCTCCATCCCACCCCACTCACAAAGTTCTTAGATGAAAGAGACGGGCGTTGCGTGGACAAAATCTCTTGTAAAGAAAGCAAAGTACTAAACACATAGTGGGACCAACTTGTAAAATTAATGACTTTATATATATATATATATATATATATATACATATATTTTTTTTATGTAGGAATACTGCTATTTATTCAGCCACTGATTAGCTCATTGAATTGGGCATGAACTCCACCTTACTTTTTTTTTCATTTTTTATAATTTTATTTATTGAATCACCATGAGAGCAGTTACAAAGCTTTTGGGTTTAAGTCTCGGTCATACACCCGAACTGTCACCTGTGCCCATTCTCCACGCCCAAAAACCACGGTATACCCCCATCCTACACCCTCCTCCTACCTGTGGGGTAGATGATTTCCACATCGTTCTCGCTCTATTTTGATTACATTCAATATTTTGACACCAGACCCACCATTAACATTTGGAATTTTACCCCAACTCTCAGATCTGCCAAAAAGGCAACAGTAGACAATTTGTTTTCTATTGCTGGTCATGAATAATATATGATGTCACACGGTTGCACTAGTGGCTGCACAATTTTGAAATTCCAAAATTTTAACAAATCTGGAGAGATTTCCTGCCAAAACCTGCTAGGTTCCGAGATCTGTTCCTGAGTCTCTGGGATCCTGATCAGGAGCCAGAGCGGCCATTTCTGGGCGGTGACTTGCAGTCTCATTGGGGTGGGGAGGAAAGGGCCGGCTCCACTCCCATCCTGTGAGGCCCAACCTGTCTTGTCACTGCGGGCCCAAACCTAACTGTCCAATTGCCTCTGGAAGATGGGGGCCACCAAGCCACCTAGGGGGAGCAGGTGGAGGGACAACACCCTTTACCCCCTGGGGTGGCCCTGCAAAAGTAACCTACTGTGTGGCCCCCACGCATTTCTGCCAAAAGCTGATGGGTTTTGAGACTTGTTTCTCAGTCTCTGGGATCATGGCCATTAAGCAGCTTGATCAGGAGCCAGAGAGGCTGTTTGTGGGCGGCGACTCAGGGTCTCGTTGGGATGAGGAGGAAAGGGCCGGCTCCACTCCCATCCTGTGAGGCCCTGCATGTCTAGTCTCTGCGAACCCAAACCTCATTGTCCAGTGGCTTCTGGAAGATGGTGGCCACCAGGCCGCCAACGGGGAACAGGCCAAGGCACAAAACCTATTCCCACCTGGGGTGGCCCAGAGCCGGTAATCTACCGCGTGGCCCACACACATTTCTTCCAAAAGCCATTGTGTTTCAAGATTTGTTTCTGAGTCCCTGGAATCATGACCATTAAGCAACTTGATCAGGAGCCAGAGAGGCTGTTCATAGGCTGCGACTTGGGGTCTCGTTGGCACGGGGAGGAAAGGGCCGGCTCCACCCCTATCCTGTGAGGCCCGACGTGTCTCATCACTGCATGTCTCACCAAACCTGATTGTCCAGGACCTCTGAAGGATGATGGCCACCGGGCCGCCGAGGGGGAGCAGGCCAAGGCACAAAACCTATTCCCACCTGGGGTGGCCCAGCACCAGTAGCCTACTGCAGGGACTGGACGCATTTCTTCCCAAAAGCCTTCGAGTTTCGAGATTTGTTTTGAGTCTCTGGGATTATGGCTGTTAAGCAGTTCAATCAGGAACCAGAGAGGACATGCCTCCAATTATATAGCTGAGTCCGAGATGGTTTGTGGGTGTGTCTCCCACATACCTAACTTTTGGCCGTTTACTTTCTTGGTAAACTTTGCCCCAAGGTTTTGGGGTCTGGCCAAAGGCACAGCAGCAATTTTGGGGTATCTGGAAGTCTGAAGGAGCCATCAGGCTGCTGATGCACTCGCCTCACAGGTACAGATCGACCTGCTGGCGGCACCATACCCCCTATATATGTTATTGAGAGCAAAGAAACAAAGATTAAAATTAGTAGCATCTTTTATTAAGTCTAAATTTAGATGAAATACAAAATTCATAAGCCAGACATGTAAGAATAGGAAAGCAAGGAGAAACTAAGCTGGACGGTTTAGTAAAACTAAGGGAAATTTAAACAACTAAAAAATCCAGGGCCAGAGTGACAGTATAGTGGGGAGGGCATTTGTCTTGTATGGGATGAGTCTGGTTTGATCTTTCGGATCCTATATGGTTCCTCGAAGCACCTCCAGGAGTGGTCCCTGAGTGCAGAGCCAGAAGTAACCCCTGAGCACAGCTGGCTGTGACCCTCCCAAAGGAAAAATTCATAATAGCATCATTATTATGGTTAGACATATCGATCAGATTTCAATTGCGAAAGGTGGAGAAGTAGTCAAGCTGAGGAGGTCTTCTGATTTTAGTCACTTCGTGAAGAACTCTTCACCTATAAAGACACACACAAAAATAAGTTGAGTATTCTCAACCCACCTTAACTTGACTTATAATCATTTAGATTCTAGAAACGTTGCAGACAGTCCAGAGAGTTCCATGTGCTCCGCGCATCCTCTCCCCATCAACATGTATGGCTGTAGATTTCTCATCCCCAGGAAGCAACGTTGATGCATTATGAGTCGTCCAAGTGCATACTTTATACAGGTTGCTCAAGTGCCCCTTTCTTGCTCTGAGATCCCATCCAGGAAAGCGCGTGCCTTCAAAGGCATCAACTTCCCTTGGGCCCATGACCCGCGATTGTGATCATTTCTTGGATGCTCCCTGTTTTCAATGACCTTGGCAGTTCTGAGGAATGCTTGCCAAGCCAGAGACCATGCCTCAGTTTGGATTGGTCTGATGTTAGTTTTACGGTACAAGAAATCAGTTTTTGTTATTAATGCGGTGCAAGCTATGGTGCTCTGTTCTGTCAGCCTGAGAGAATGAAAAGAGGCGTCTTCTTCAGAAGACAAAATTCAAGTCTACTTTATTATAAGACAACACGTGGGAGACCTGAGAATTGCTAGGACTTGTTTATTATTCAAAAGATTGCCTCATTTCCAACATCTCATTTATACTTTGAACAAAAACCCATACATAGATTCTGGAACTTACCTTAAGTTTTTTAAAAAGCGCGCATGGCTCTCCTTCTATTGATGTCTCTCTTAATTTGGCAAAGAGAACAAAGAGGACAGAAATAGGTCGCCAGGAAGTCATTACAAATGGATCCCTGTGAAGACACAAAAGAAAAAAAATGTACAATCCATCTACTTGGAAACAGGGGTTTTCACATGAGTTCGAAAGAGAAGCAAAATGTATTGGTTCTTGAACTCATTTTGGATGAAGCTATGGAGGAAAGCATTTGTGAATTCTTCCACAAAATGTTGGTGTCTTTATGACAGCAGTTCCTATACCGTGAAAATAAAAGATATCCAACCAAACGATGAACAGGATGATGAAATGAAGGAGTTTCAGGAAATGAAATCTCAGAATTCTTGGGCAACTTTAAGAAATGAAGAAATCATAAAATTTGTTGCAACATGCATGAAACTGGAAGTTACCGTGTTGAGTGAAGTAAGCCAGAAGAAGGACAAACAGGACATCACTTCTATGTGGTAGAGTAACTCTGAGGAAATGCAGTGTTTTAGAGGGGGAATACCCAGATCAACCTTGGCCCCAGAATACAGGGAGGAGAAGGAAAAAAACGGTGAAGGGAAAGGGGAGAGAAGAGGTAGACGAGAAAAACGGGGGCGGCGTCAAGGGATTCAGGTACATCAGTGTTGTTAGTGAATGACAGAATCAAATGTCCAAACCACAGGCACAACACTGAAATCGTGAGATCCAAATTTAAAAGGTTCCAGTCACGATGGCAGGTTGGGGGGTGGGAGGGGCGTTGACATTGGTGGTAGAATTGGTGATGGAACACTGTATGTCAAACACCCAACCGCGAATGACTTTGTAAATCACAGGGGTTGAATAAGATGAAAGTTTGGAGAAAAAAAAAATCTCGGTTGTGGTTGCCCGTCTTCACCCTTTGCTGGAGACTCTGCTGCCTCACCCAACCGAGGGATAAACGAAGAGGAAGAGGTGGGAAGTGAGAAAAACGAGTCCAACAGAGGAGAGACGCTGACACATTGCCCAGCCCCAAGGGATGTCGGAGTAAGGAGTAAGCTGCTCAAAAGTGGAGGCAAGAGGGATTTCACCGGAGAAAACCAGGTGCTGAATGGAGTGTAGGAATCTGCCAGTTTGTGGAGGTTTTTTTTTTGTTTCGTTTTCCTAAGTAAATGAAAACATACACGGGAAACGGCCCAGAGCTGGGCAGGAGATACAGCTCAATGGGCTGAGTGCGTGTCCAGGTTCTACCCCAGCATGATTTTTGAGCACAGGGCCAGGTGTGCCCAAACAAACACACAGACACACAGACACACACACACACAAGCTCCAAAATTTATTAATAAAAGGAAAAACAAAGAGTAGCAGGAAAAGTGAGCATAGCGTACTCTTATGACTCAGCTCCCAAGATATAGCTGTTGTAAGGTAAATACTGAATTTAGTGACTGGAGCAATAGTACAGAGGTAGGGCTCTTGCTTTGCACACAGCCAACTGGGGTTGAATCCCTACCACCCATACGATCTCCTGAACACCACAAGAAGTAACCCCTGGGGCTGGAGGAATAGCACAGCGGGTAGGGCATTTGCTTTGCATGCGGCCGACCCGGGTTCGATTCCCAGCATCCCATATGTTCCCCTGAGCACCGCCAGGGGTAATTCCTGAGTGCAGAGCCAGTAGTAACCCCTGTGCATTGCCGGGTGTGACCAAAAAAGCAAAAAAAAAAAAATAAATAAAAGTAACCCCTGAGTGCAGAACAAGGAGTAAGCCCTGAGCACTACCGGTATGTGTCTCCCAAACCCCTGAAATTTAGCCAAATCACTAGTGATAGTGATTTCATATAAATCTATTATAGCAGGTAGGGTCGATAAAGGAAGGTGTGTGTGTATGTGTTTGTATCCACTTGCACGCACACACACATGTGCTAGTAAGGGATTAAAAATAGAACTAAATCCTCATCTTCCACAGTGGAGATAAAACTGAAAAGGCGAAAGTCACCATGGGCAGCCTGATGTAAGGAAGTAGAGGAAACAGCCAAAGAATCAGCTCAAAGATCAAAGTTGTTTATCTTCTAGCTTTTTTTTGAGGGGGGAGGGTCACACCCGAGGATGCACGGGGGTTACTCCTGGCTCTGCACTCAGGCATCTCTCCTGGCAGTGCTTGGGGGACAGACAATACGGGATGCTGGGAATCGAACCCGGGTCCGCTGCGTGCAAGGCAAACGTCCTCCCCACTGTGCGATCTCTCCAACCCCAAAGTTGTTTATCTTCTAGTGTTTTCGAAGAAATTGTAGCCAGAGGATTTTTTGCAGCCACTGACTACAAGAGTTTACGTCTAGGAAATTTGTAGAAAACTCAGAGGAGGTCAGCACCAAATGCTCCCTGTTCGTAAGCATTATTTTGAGAGTGGTGGGAGATTTCACGGTAGGAGACTCACGGGGATGCCGTAGCGGGTCCGGTAGAGGGTCCTCATGGCGACACTGGTCCCGCACAGGCAGCATTCACCCATGTCAGTTGCCACCTGGCAGGCAAGGTATTCGAAACAGAACATGCCGCAGAGACCTGCGGGCGGGAGAGCAGAGCCCGTTACTCGCACCCACACACGGTGTAACTATTGCTGCCCGAGCACACAGCAGCCCCGGGAGCGCGCTCTGCCATGCATCCTGCCACCAAGCCTGGCCTCAGCACTTTTATTCAGCTATTTTGTTTTCTTTTCGAGTCACACCCGGCGATGCACAGGAATTTCTCCTGACTCTACACTCGGGAATTTCTCCTGGCGGCACTCGGAGGACCATATGGGATGCCAAGATGCAGGGGATTGAACCCAGGTTGGCCGTGTGCAAGGCAAACGCCCTTTCCTGCTGTACTATCGCTCCAGCCCCTCTTTTGTTCAGCTTCAGAGTAGCCTTTCCTTCTTCCTACCCCGTCCTTTCAAAAAGAACTGTACCTTGGAAAGTAGGCTTCTATTGTATTTATTTTTTTTTTATTTTGGGGCCACACCTGGCGACGCTCAGGAAGCAGTCCTGGCAGTGCTTGGGGAACCCTATGGGATGCTGGGGATTGAATCTGGGTTGACCACCTGCACTGGGTGCTATTCAACTCCTGAGCTGACTCCAGGAATAGGACTGTTCCTGGAGTGTGTGTCAATCTTGAAGCAGGGTTGCTCTTGGCATGGAAAGAGCAACCGGCCACACCCGTGGTGCTCAGGGCCTACCCCCGGCTCTGTATTCAGGGACCACTCCTGGTGATGCTTGGGGCACCCTATGCGGTGCTGGGGATCGAACCCCCGTGGCCACCAGCAAGGCAAGTGCTTGACCCCTGGCCTGTCTCCTGGTCCTGACGCGGCCGTCAGGGGTCAGCAGTGGTCACACACACACACACACACACACACACACACACACACACACGCGCACGCACGCACACATACGCACCCACGCACACACGCGTGCACACGCACACACGCACATACTCACGTGCGTGCATGCGCCCACTTACAGACTCCGAAGTCGCTGAAGCAGTCTAAAATGCCTGTCTGCCAGTTGGACATCTGGGGTGCTGCCCCATAGTTGGGCTGGGTCACGATCACCACGGGATGTGACGGTGGCGCGGGCGCTTGCATTTTCGACGCAGGGTCTGTGGAGGCCGAGGGGCTGAAGAACAAAGCGTTGCCTGAGTAAGGGGCGAGCAGGTGGTGGCTGTTGGCATGCAGGAGCTCACTGGGCAGTTCTAGGGGAATCACTGAAGAACATTCTGGCTCCGCCTTTCTGAGCGCAGGGCCCCCGGGGGAGGAAGCCAGTGGCCAGTGAGATGAGCAGGCGGTTCTCCACTGTCCCCGCCCCTCACACAGGGACCAGGGCCCCACAGACCCCAGAGAAACCAACAAGCCAATGGTGGTGGGAAGTAGCCGATAAGAGACAATGGGACTCGGACTAGTCACTTCTCAGAGATAGTGTTTATCCCAGTGGGATATGGCACAGTCTGTGTATGATACAGCAGGAAGGCCCTGCCTTGCACTCCACAGACCTGTTAGAATCCCTGGCACCTCATCTAGTTCCCCTGAGCACCACCAGGAGTGACCCCAGAGCACGGAGCCAGGAGCAAGCCCTGAGCACCTCCCCCCAACAGAACAAACAATTTTTACTACTGATTGCATTACTCTTCCTACTTACTATCAGTCATTGTCACTGTCCTCCTGTTGGTCATCGAGGGGGCCCAGTAACGCCTGCCTTGTGAGACTTGTTACTGTGTTAGGCATATCAAATACATCACAGATAGATTGCCAGGCTTTGCTGTGGGGGCGAGATACTCTCAGAGGGACAGAGGAATCGAACCTGGGCCCACTGGGTCGGCTGCGTGCAAGGTAAACTCCTTATCCATTGTGCTATCTCTCCAGCCTACAGATTCATCTTAGTCTAAGAATAAGAATAAAACACACACACACACACACACATACACACATAAATATATAGGGACGTATTCATAGTAACATTGTGTGTTTTGATAAAAAAGGTAAAGGTAAAGGCCCTCCCGTTGATCGTCGATTTGCTCGAGCGGGCCCAGTAACGTCTCCATTGGAGACTATGTTGTTACTGTGTCTGGCATATCGAATACTCTCGGTAGCTTGCCGGGCTCTCTGAGACGGGCGAACGCCCTACCGCTGTGCTATCGCTCCAGCCCTACTGCAATTAATTCAGAGCTTTATGTCCAGGAGAGTTATGACAGGGCGCGTGGCAGAGATTTTTTTCCCCTATTGCAAACATTTTAAAAAGAATGGAGGACAGTTTCCATGAACTGAGGATGGGCTTGAGCCACGGAGCTAGCGCAGAGGGCTGGAGCCCACATCTGGCACGCACAAGATCCTGAGTTTAGCCCGGCCCCATTGGGCACAGTCCTGAAGGGCCCGAAACACTGCAGGGTGGCCCAGGGGGCCCGAAGCGCGTGGCATCGGGTTGCTGGGCTGGGCATTGACCTGCCCATTGCTCAGAGCACCACTGGGAGTGACCTCTCTGGCAGCCTGAGCACTGTTTGAGAGCCCCCCGCCAAACCTCCAAACTCATCATGGTTTGAAGGATGGAAAGTGAAGAGCGTGTTACACAACAGCATATTGTGTAACATTCCTCGCTGAGAAATTACAGGGAAAAAAAAAAAAGAAAGCGTGCATCTGCTCCAAGGTGCACTTCAGAGTCAACCGGACGCAAATGCAGCTCCTTATCTGCGCCTCTGGGTGCTGTCCTGCCCCGGAGCGGAGGTCGCATCCTGCATCCGTGTGGGAAGGAGCCACGTGCCAGCCGTCGGGGCCTTGTCCACGTGCCTCTGATGCCCGACCCCCCCCCCCCCCAACAGTCCGCCAGGCAGCCGACCCCCAGATGCCGGGAGGCCCCTGCCCTGGGCTCGCGCAGGGAGCGGACTCAGGGCGCACGCGCGAGCATCCTCAGCCGCAACCTCAGGGAGCCTGTTTCTGTTTCCTGGGACCAGAGCCCTTCCCAGAAGGGGATGCTCAGTCGGGGCCCTGGAGGGTTTGGGCGGAGCCCGGCTGGGGGTGGGGTGGGTGTTTCTAGCGCTCTGTGGTTTACTGATCCCTTAGGCGCCCTGTGACACTCTCAAGCGGCGCTGTCTCCTCTCTTCGGAGACAAGAGGCAGCCTGAGCACTGTTTGAGAGCCCCCCTTCACTTTCCATCCTCTTTGCAGGCAAACAGCACCATGCTTCCTTCTTAGTAAAATCAAAGAAAGCAAACGCTCTGGCAGCTCGGTTGGGTATCCTATTTCAGATTTCTGGGGCAACAAAATAGAAGACAGAAGCAAGTGTAATCATGTTTCAAATAACCGCAAATATCTTGGGTGCAGCTACTAAACATTTAATACTTTTTGTTTGGTTGGTTTGGAGGCCACTCCTGGCTGTGCTCAGGGTTTACGCCTGGCTGGGGGCTCAGGGGACCACATGGGGCGCTGAGGATTCAACCTTGGAGGGGGGGGGGGATGTTCAGGACAAGTCCCTTCACTCCTGTGTGTCTCTCCAGCCTCTAATCGCTTGAACCTTTCCAGGTAGCAGAAGTCGGAAATCTTCCTTGAGCTCTCTTTAGCACTGGAAAGTGTTTGAAAGCTTTTCTGGAACCTCCAAGCCCTTCCCTGGTCTCCCCTCAGAGTTTTGCACTTTGACTGGCAGTGCTCAGGGATCACTCCTGGTGGGCTCGGGAAACTGTATGAGATGCTGGGATCGAACCCAGTGCAAGACAAGCACCCTACCCATTGTTCTATTGTCCAGGCTCCACTTTTTACTTTTTTATTTTTCCTTCATCTCATCTGGTGATGCTCGGAGGCTGCTCCTGGCTCGGTGCTAAGCACCACTTTTGATTCGGGACTGTGGGGGGGGGGGGGGACAGCATTTGGTCCAGCCTGTGGACCTCTCTACCACCTCCACCACCACAACCCCCCCCCCCCCCCCCAGCCAAATTCTTTCTCAGAATATGAGTTGAGGAGAGGGAGCAGGAGAGAGAGAGAGAGAGAGAGAGAGAGAGAGAGAGAGAGAGAGAGAGAGAGAGAGAGGGGAGAGAGGGAGAGAAGGAAGGAGGGAAGAAGGGAGGGAGGAAGAAGAAAGTGCCTGTTATCAAGGCAGGTTGGGGGTGGGGTGGAGAATGTGGCAGGAGGAAAATTGGGGATATTGGTGATCGGAAATGTGCACTGGTGGAGGGATGGGTGTTGGAACATTGTATGACTGAAACTGGATCATGAAAGCTTTGTAACTATCTCACGAGTGGGGAGAGAGAGAGAGAGAGAGAGAGAGAGAGAGAGAGAGAGAGAGAGAGAGAGAGAGAGAGAGAGAGAGAGAATAGAAGTTCATGGCAACAAGACAAGAAAACTCACTATAAGCCCCAGTGACCCGCGGGCGGGGCGGTGGTTGAGGACAGCCCCGGGTGCAGGGCTGAGACCCAGGCTGAGGGTGCCCTCAGATTTCCGGCCTTGCAGCCCCCTGGTACATTCATAAAACAACAGAACCCCAATGTACTGTGACTCCAGCACCAGCATACCACCAAAGAGCCTTCTGCCCTGGGCTCGCTCAGGGAGCGGACTCGGACTTGGACTCGGGGCGCCGGGGCGCACGTGCGAGCATCCTCTGCTGCAACCTCCAGGCGCTTAAGTTTCTGTTTCCTGGGACCACAGCCCTTCCCAGAAGGGGACGCTCAGTTGGGGCCCCTGGGCCCCAGAGGGGTTGGGCGGAGCCCGGCTGCGAATGGGGCGGGTGTTTCTTTTGCTCTGTGGGTTACTGATCCCTTAGGCTGTCCTGAGAGAGACAGAGAGAGAGAGAGAGCGAGAGAGAGACAGAGACAGAGACAGAGACAGACAGAGACAGAGAGACAAATTTTACATTGCTCTTCTCCCTCTTCAATTTCCATTACCCCTCTGATACTAGGATTATTTTCCCCTTAAGGAGGAAGTTTTACTTCTGAAAGCCTTTTACTGATCACCCTGTCATACAGCAACAAAATTGGGCTTATGGGTTAAATTCATTTCCCCCTCTCCCTCCATTTCTTATAATCATATGGACTACATATAAACTTTTTTAAGGAAAAAAATTGAGTTTTTACAATTGCCAGTACACAATTGTTCGAAACCAACATGACACTGGTGCTATAACATGAAAGGGGAAACACTTGCATAACACTTCAGTGACTGGCTGTGACCCTGGTTTGATACCCCATGACCGCAGTTGGCCCCCCCAAGAATATTGGCATCATTCTTGAACACAGAGCCAGGAGCAGGCAGGGAGTACTGCTGGGTGTAGCTCAAACCAATAAAACAAAGAGTCATGCAGATGTTCTATGGTCATTCACCACAAACTATTCTTTTTTTTTTCTTTTTGGGTCACACCCAGCAATGCTCAGAGGTTACTCCTGGCTCTGCATCCAGGAATTACTCCTGGAGGTGCTTGGGGGTCCATATGGGATGCCAGGGATTGAGCCCAGGTCGGCCGTGTGCGAGGCAAACACCCTACCCGCTGTAGTATTGCTTCGGCCCCTGAACTATTCATTTCACTGGTGAATCCCTTCACCCACAATTCCTATGGTGCTTTTGTTCTATAAAAAAAAAATGTTAGGGGCTGGAGCGATAGCACAGCGGGTAGGGCATTTGCCTTGCATGTGACCCACCCGGGTTCTAGTCCCAGCATCCCATATGGTCCCCTGAGCACTGCCAGGAGTAATTCCTGAGTGCAAAGCCAGGAGTAACCCCTGAGCATCGCCGGATGTGACTCAAAAAGCAAAAAAAAAAAAAAAGTTATTTTATTTTGTTTTCTCAGAACAGGGTCATCTAACTTTTATAAGGGGCCAGTTAGAAAGTATTCTTGGCTTCATGGCCCATGTCTCAGCATCTTGCTCTATCATTGTGCAAGATACCATCAATAATATGTAAATGCTGGCCACTGCATTCATTCCAATAAACCTTTACTTACAAAATTAGCAGTGAACTGGATCCAGCCCTTGGCTGTAGTTGGCTGAAGTGTCCTGTAGCCATGGGAGGAGGAAAAAATGGAGTTAGAAGAGAATGTTGGTTCGAGACTAGGACAGTTCTCTGGTGTCACAGTGATTCGGTAAGAAGGAAGCCTGAGGATGCTCCTTGGGAGGA